AAGTAATTTATTTACTACAACAACAAATGTAAACTAAAATTATTCAATTTTTTGCGTTGTTAAAACATTATCATTACTCATGAAAGAAACTGTGGCGCGAAATGTTTTAATATAGATTTTTTTTTTTTTATAAAGAAAAATATATTAGCTAGAAATTCGTTCCATTTATGTTTGAAAAAAAATTCCTAGAAACATTTATTTTTGACTTCATTTAAAAACACTATTTTCGTGTAAGTATGAGCATGCTCAAATTACCCAGTGTTTGTCATTAAAAACACTTTGTCATTTAAAATCTGTGGTTTTAATTGCTTTTTGAATGTAAGCAAAATATAATTTAAAAATTCTAATATTTTAAAAATACTAAATATATATTTAGTATTTTTAAAATATTAAAGGAAAGATTTATCTTTCCTTTGAAAAATCCTCTAAATGTTTCCTTGGTTTAAAGAAACAAAAACTTTCAAAACAATTTGTTTCAGAAATCATTAACGTGGCGAAACAATATCTGAACCGGAAGAGATCATTTTAGAATTCAAAAACTTTATAAACTAAAAATGAATGATAGCGATTCTCAAGAATATTTATTAAACAATGCTAAAGTTAAAAAAGTGACAGCACGCCAAAGGTCAGAAATTAAAACAACTTCGTCTCAAATGAAAAATAACAAATCGCCTGGATCAGATGATCTCACAGTAGAATATTACAAAAATTTTTTTGAGTTAAGATCTAACGGCAACACTAAATAACGCATTAAGGTCAGGCGAATGACTAGCTCACAAAAAGAGGCGATAATTACGTGTATTTTTAAGAAAGGAGACACAAATTACATTAGAAATTGGAGGCTAATATCATTGACTAACGTTGACTATAAAATGCTAAAACAACTGCGAGTAGACTAGTAAATATATTACCGAATATAAAAAATAGCAATCAAACAGCGTGCATTAAAAATAGGACTATGAACAATAACTTAAGTTATACTAGGAAAATAATAAGCATTGCTTATACAGAAAATTTAGATGCAAGCATTTTCTTTATAGATCAGACAAAAGCTTTCGACCGAATTTTTTTATTTAAAAGTCTTGAACATTTTGGTTTGACAAGGAATTTGTAGATCAGATAAAAACAATTTATAATAAAATAAACGCTAAAGTAAAAATAAACGGAGAACTTTTGCTAGTCATATAAATTTTGAGAGAAGTAAAACAAGGTTGCTCCTTATCCATGATTTTATACATCAAAAACTCAACAATATGCCGACGATACTACGATACTTTTATTTATGCGGCGATATCTCTTTTAAAAATATAGGTAAAGCCCTAAACCTTAGTTATATAAACCCTAATTATATATAATTAATATATAAACCTCAATTATGCTAAATTAATAAAGCAAAATGTCAAGACGTTTGGTTGGGAAGAAATAAATTCGCAGAAAAGAAACAGTTTCTAGACTTACAAATTTCGTCGGCTAGTCGGACAATTAACACAATTCAGTCGGGTAAATTTTAGTTATGAGAACTTTTTTTTTTAAGAAGCAAGTTTGTAGAATTGCTTCTGCAGACAACTATTATTAAAGTTTTGTAAAATTAAAAAAGATTACAGAGTACCCGTAGCTGAAATAGAGGAAATACCAAGTCAGCCACGTTTTTTTTAATAACAACATTGAATATAATACAAATAAATGTTTGACCCCAGAAAAGGTACACATTAAAAATGATATTGTTCTTGTAACATAGCAAAAACATTTCAGCATGGGTTTTTAAATCCTATATCAATTTGTTTGACTGAGATCGAAATGAAAAATGTTATAACAGCACTTCCAAAAAATTGGAGAAATAAAATTTTAAACAAAAGTCATAAATATGATTTTAAAAAAACGCTTTTTTATATATTGAAGAGGAAAAAAAAGTACAAAAGACTCATTGTCTCCACACTTTATAAAATTTAAAACAAACCGAAAAATATTATAGTTTATAAGTATAATCTCTGTGCAGCATATATTTATATTATAGTTTACAAGTATAATCTCTGTGCAGCAAGTGGTTTTTGCAACCACTTGCTGGCCAGATGCAAGTATGCAAATAGACGGTGAAAACGAATGGAAATTCTTTTTTTATAGGTATTAACAAAAGAAACACAAATAACAAAGGAAATTAAATATTTTCAAAAATTGCGCATTTTTTATTACCAGCTAATAAAAATAGTTTTATTAGAAAATTAAGAAATGACAAATAATGTCCGCAGTGCAAAACTGAAAACTAAACCTTATATCATATGATGTATAAATGCAAAAAGGTGCAGCCTTTAATTTTGTTTTAATTAGATGTTTTGGATCAAATTTATCCTTTGGAATATCCTCATTCTAATATTTTGAAATTTATTTTGTTTAAATACGTGCAACTAAGAGTTTGGCTATATTTTATTGGAAACTTTTATGGTAGAAATATATTTTAATAGAATTAAAAGTTATTTTGAAAAAAAATGCTTTAGTGTAAAGTTTTTACTTAAAAGGTTTGAATATAAAGTTAAACGCTTGCTTGTAATTGAGAGATTATTAGTAATGGATTAAAATGAACAAAACAAATATAAAGACGAATTAAGGAACATCCAGATGACGTAATAAAATGCAACTCTATAACTTAAATTCAAAAAATTTGTATTTTTGTCGCTGAGTAAATAAAATCGAAAAAAATAACAATTTTTTTTTTTAAAGCGTAAAACATAGTGGTATTGTTTCAATTAAAAAGGACTTAAACTTTAATCTTTTAATAAGTTTTGTTAATAACGAATCATTATATTCCGCAAATTATTTCTAATTGTTAGGTCTGTATTTCTTAAATTAATTAATGTTATATTTTTGCGCTTATTTAAAGTGCTCATTTTATCACGTGGTCTGGTGCTCATAATACCCTAATCTACCCTAAACCATCTCTCCAACAACATTTACCATCAGCATACGTTGCATATAGAGGCGATTTTACGGGTGTGTGTGGGGGTGTTACACCTCCCCAATGAAGGTAATTTTGAATTTATAGCCGCTTTTTTAAGAATTTAGTCGGCTAATTGGCTTTTTGACACAATTCAGTCGGTTAAGTTTTTGTTTTGAGGACCTTTTTTTTTTTTTAAGAAGCTAGTCGGTACATTTTGAGGATTCACCCCCTCCCTCATTTTATTCATAGAATCGGCTCTGGTTGTATAGAAACGGCTCTAAAGTTAACTCAAAAGTCAACTTGCCTGTAACCAATGTTCAATACTGTAGATCCAGCTGTTCAAAAGAAAATTCAAAATAAATAAAATCAACTTAATCATAGCTTCATAAATTTTTTGCTATCAAAATGTTGAAACAAAAACTTGTTGAAAACATGCAGACGCGTTAAAGTTCTAAAAAGAATATCTCAATAAATTTGAAATAATTTTCAAATTGAAATATACTGATAGCAATAAAAGCCTAAGCGACCCAGGAAATATCGTTAGTTTAGTTTTGTTTATGAGCAGCAAATAAATCAAGCAACAGCAGTAACTCCAACAACAAACAACAGCAGCAAACCAAGTCAAGTATAAAAAGCGCAGTTAAGTTTTCCGCGAAGATCCAATATGTCGAAATAGTGAAAGATATCGACTTGAAAACTCAAAATGCAAAGCTTGGCTTTGTTAAACATGCATATCAAATCAATATGCACTGAAAAGTTCCGCACAAGTGATAACTCAACCTCTCAACGAACCTATCAACGACTTAATACCATTACTATAATATTTTATCTTTTTAATTATTAGTTGGTTACTTTTTTAACTATTATCATGGTTGCTTTTTTTAACTAACTGTTATTTTAATTACCCATTGACTTGCATTTTTTAATCTCCCTAAATGTATTGGTAGAATTCTACCATTACATTACATTTGAAAAAAAAACTTCTTCATTCTAGAATAAAGTAGTTTTTATTTCAATAAATTTTTTTTTTTTTAAAAGATTGAAATAAAAAATTTCAACTTTACATAGTTGAGTACAGCTTAAAATTCTCTACAACTTAAAAAAATATTTAAATTCATTTCCAGTAAAAAAAAATTATTATTAAAACTCTCAATTATTATATATGACTCCATTTTATTCTAATAACTTTTTAATATTATGTTGTTCATAATATTTTTCTCCTTTATTTATTTTTTAATTTTTATTGAAAAAAAAGTTATTGTAAAGTAATTACATCAAGTTATTCTCTTATCTACAAGTGAAAAAAATGCAATTCCTCATACTATAACAACCAAATCTAACTTCCGATTCTGATAAAGTTGAATTCAATATCTTTAAGTTTTGAAGTTTCAAATTATGTTGAGATTTAAAGTACAAAGACGTATAAAAAGTATGAAGGCTTTCCAAAGAAAACCTTGAACTCAATCCAGGTTTGAAATTTATTTAATTTGAATTGACTTTACTGAAAGTAAAATCACCAGTTAATTCTCATACATTATTAACTTACTATACAGAGTTCAACATTGTTGACATAATTCATGTAATCTCCTATTAAAACGTATGCTTATTTTCTAATTAAAAAAGGAAGAGGAAGTGGTTTAAAAATATCTTGTAATATATCAATTTTACTTAATACAAATTAAAAAATTTTAAAATGTAATTTTAAACGGTATGGTTTATAAAAACCAAAAAAATAAATTTATATAATTATATTTTGCTTATATATTGTTTCATGGAGCCATGATTAAAATTTTAAACTCTAAATTATGATTTATTATTAAAAGAAACACACCGCAGGGCGTAAAATATTTATAAGCAAGAAGCATTTACTTAGTTTATAAAAAAGAAATGAATTAATGAAAAATGGTTTTATATTTCAAAGTGCTAGGATGAAAAAATATTTGTCTTATAATTATATATTTTTTTGCAACTTATCGTTAATAGGTTTAAGTCGTATATAAGAGTCGTATATTACATTTTCGTTGTTTAGTTTTGTAGTTGCCATCAAATTTTAGAAAACCGCGGCTAT